ACCCCTAATTTTTGTTGGACTGGTGAGCGAGGGTGGGTGGGTGGTTTGTTTCATCAAGTGCTCAAATTGATTAGGCGGACCGAGATTTTGAAGTTTGAGGTTACAACAGTGGCGGCCCAGTTGCACCTTCCAAGTTAGTGATTCATGATGCGGTTTTGCTAGAATGAACCTTAGTCGTTAGAAACAAAATTGCAGGCCAATCGTGTCATCCGTATTTGCCAGAATAAAATATCATCACTCAAGCCCCGAAACCACGAGCGAAGCGTGCCTCGATCGGACTTTATTCATGGGTCCTAGCAAAATGATAAAAGCCGGAATGAAACTTGCTAAATTCGTGCCTTAACAAAATACATCGGGATTCAGTCTCATGGATCCCGCCAGATTCAACGTTTAGGGCAGCATCAGTTGTTGTGACTAATGAGTAGTGTAACAAAAAATATATAGCTAGTATACAGTAAGTAGTAGTGGAACTTCAAGTTATTCTAGAGCCGTGAGAATCTCACGACCGGAGCGCCCTAACTGCAGAACTCGATTTTCAGTACTTTGGGTGATTTTGTGAGCTTTTCTTTCTTTTTTGGGTTATTTCTTTAGTTGATATTGATGTTGAGGAAAACGTACGTAAATGTTGGAGGTGATGGGGCTGATTTCTGAGTTGTTGCTATTGATGCATGAAGAGGTGATTTCTGTCCCGCTGGAGTAAGTCACCCAAACTGGAGAAGTATTTTTATCTTGGGCAGCTCTCTTGGACGTGGTCACCTGCTTGGGTAATAAGAGGGGCTGAATCCCCTGATATAACTCCGAAGCTCAAGTTAGTTCGGTTGTAAGGAGGTAGTATAATTGAAGGGAGGAGTATGTTACCAGAGAATTGGTCATCATCCCTTTCTCAATAGAAATGTTGAGAATTTATAGAGGAAGGATAGGAGAGAGGGACTGTCGGCGAGTCCCTAAAGATCTGAGATGGTCAGTGCATCGGTAGACTTGACGATCTTTATGAGATGTGAGGGGACATCTGTCAGGTTCAGGCGGCGTATCAGAGCAGCCTTCCCAGGTGTCAGATGTGTCAGGAGTCACATCGTACCTTTCTGCAGTTATCAAATAATCAAGCATCACTTCGGCTAATGATCTTAGCCGGAGTGGTAATGAGGTGGGTTCCAAACCAACAAGTCTTGCCGAGGTGGCACTTCGGGAGGCACTCGAGCCGAAATGACCATCCTCACTAAGCCCCCAAGCTTCAAGAAGAGCGAGGTCGGGGCCTCCCGAGGTCGTCGTTTCCCGAAGCTGACGCGCGTGTAGAACACGGAACAATGCAAGGACACGTCACGACTGTGTAGATGTGACTAGGGGAAGGTGAAACGGGGGCTGGCAGCTTTAACGTCGAATCAATACGATCGATTGTCAGGTGAACAGCACCTTCATTAATGAGGGGAGAGAGAGAGCTTTAGGGAATCCAAAGATCGCATCTCTTCGGTTCCCCCCTTGTTGCCTATAAATAGGGGTTTCTTTTCACCGTTCCATTCTTTACCAAAATTTGAAATCATCTCAGAGCTCTGTCCATTTGCTTTTTCACTTCGGCAATCTTTCCAACCTACATCTTCTTCAGCAACTTTTTCACTTCGCATCTTCTAAGTAAGTTCACTTCTTCTTTCTGTATTAATGGCTAGAACAGCTCGCACACACAAAGAGACGGTGAGGCCTGACTTCACCGAGGCAGAGAGCCCGACCCTTCCGAGGAGAGAACGGCCTCTAACGCCGAGGAAGGAGGTGGGGAAGCGTCTGATCGAGCCCGGGGAGGAGATGCGGAGGCATCCGCCGAGCTGAGTCTTTGGAAGAGCAGGCCGAAGAGATTGAGGTCGAGCCCGAGGTCTTGTACAATGATCACCTCGGGAATGAAGTTCCAATGGACGTGGGTGTACAAGAGCCCTCCACTCCTCCACACGTGGCCACGCTAAACTATGGTCAGATGCCGGCCTTCATCAGTGCGGTGGACCAAGCTCCATAGCCGATGTGGTCCGCAAGTATCCGTGGAGGAGGGATTACAGTATCTACCTTCCGCGCCCACATCAATCCGCCGCCCTGCCTCCAAAGGGTAGGGTAGCCATCTACATAGAACAGCTGGAGGCCGGACTCATGGTGCCAACTACGAGGTTTCTTAGGCACTGCCTGAGGTATTGGGGGGTGAGGATTACTCAGCTCACTCCAAATGCAATTCGCATCCTCGTCGGCTTCCAGCTACTCTGCCGACATCAAGAGATAGAGCCGAATGTCAACCTCTTCCGCCGTTGTTATTCACTTAAGAACAGTGGGAGCGAGAAGGGGTGGTTCTACTGCGGGAACAAGGTTCCAAGATTGGTATATGATGCCCCGAGCTCAATAAAGGAGTGGAAGAGGAACTTTTTCTTCGTCCCGGCTGAGGACTTCCCCAGGGGATTCTGGTGGAGACCTCCCACTTCGGTCAAAAAAACCTCCCCGGGCAAATTGGAAGAACGCAACTTCCAAAAATTGACGGGGTCGGGCCTGAAGATTAACTATTGGGACTTCCCTGAAAGAGTGCTCGTGAAGGGCGAGCTCAGCCGAGCCTCGATCAGCTCGGACTTTCCCGTCCTCGTCTTCACTAGGCTTCACATACCTCGTACTTTTCCACTTCTCACTTTCTTGTTTGTTTTCCTTGAATTCTAACTAACTTCATTTCGTACTTTGCAGTAATGAAGGTTTCCGACCTGATTACCTCGGGAGAGGTCGAGGTGGCAAAGAGGCCAGCAAAAAAGCGCAAGGACGCCGGTGAGTCCTCTTCCAGGCCGGCTAAGAAGACCACTGCCGCGGCAGGCACTCGCGAACCTGTCGTGGTGATTATAGGCGAGGGGTCGCATACCTCGGGCACGCCGGGAAGATCCAAAGCGTCCATTCCAGTGGGAGTTCCATCCCATGGAGTAACCATAGCCTCTCAACCTCGGGGCCGGGGTCGAGGTGCGACCGTTGTCCAGGGTGACGCTATCTCGGGGAACTCATTATTGAACCTCCACCACGTGCCCTCTCTAGCAGCCGGGAGGACAAGAGGCACTCCGGAGCACAATTTTGCCCGGAGTGGTCGGTCAATGTCAATGACCGCTGCAAGAATCCCCAGGTCGCGCACGAGCTCCTGGTGAATTCAGTCCTGCCACAGGACAACACTTACACTAGAAAACTCAATCCGGCCGAACTGATGCAGGGTGCCTCGGTCTCCTGGGCTTCCACCACGGCGTTTCTTGCCGAGATGTACCAACGCTTCGGCGATTTCGTAGAGACTTATGAATCACCTTCCGAGCTCCAGAAGAAGATCGCCGATCTGGAAGGGAAACTAAAGGCCGCCGAGCTGGCACGTGACAAGGCTGAGGCGGCGAAGAAGAAGACTGAGGTCTCGAACAACTCCCTCATAACTGCTCTTGATGAGGAGAGGGAGAAGAGAGCTCAGGAAGAGCAATCATCCAAAGTGGCCATAGACACAGCCGGGGCCACCGCTGTGGAAGCATTCCGGAAGTCGGAGTCTTTCATTCGCGACCTCGGTGAACTCACTCGGCCGAGCTTCATGTTCGGGTATACGTCGGCCATTAATGATGCGGCACCCTTTCTTCTCCCTGAGCAGCTGGAGTCCTTCCAGAGTGCTTCACACTACAATGAGGATGCTAAGGAATTATGCGACCGCGTGGGTGAGGGCATCCGGACTGGAAAGGACCTGGCTGAGGTCCGAGCTGAATTCAACAAGTGGCTCCAGGAGTTCGAGTGTGGATGGTGACAGTGCCGAAGGGGACCAGGCTGGTGGAGGAGAGGAAGAACAGCAGAATGCCGGACAGCAGGATGCCGAGGCAGGCGGCGAGACCCTGGGGGACAGGACCCCAGGGCAGGAGGTGCTTAGAAGCACTCATGTTTTGTAATAGATGGCCGAGGTCATCGGCATTTCACTTTTGTAATTATGGCCCCGACCTTTTGCTTTTCATGCTTCAATAAAGTTGGGTTTTGCATATTTTCTCTCCTTTTCGATTGAGTTCAGTTTTTTCCTTTTAACTACTGCTTTGTCCCCTTATTTGTCACTTGTAATGAAATAAGAACGAGTGAGAAATAACTTAAAGAAGTGGAATTTAAGAACACGTACCCTTCAAGGGTAATACAACTTAAGGTTCTCAGCATGACAAGTTCGGGGCACACGCGAACCATCTCGGTAAGCCAGTTTACAATATCCATTTTGGCTGGATTCAATAACACGGTAGGGTCCCTCCCACTTGGGGTTAAGTTTTCCCTGGGGTTCAACTCGGCTAACCGAATTCTTCCGGAGTACCAAGTCTCCTGGACTGAACCTTAGGTGTTTGACCCGGGCATTGTAATAACCAGCTAGGATATTTTTATAAATAGCAACTTTGGCCGCAGCCATATCGCGCTTCTCCTCGGCAAGGTCGAGATCAACCCGTCGCTCCTCTTCATTGACATCGGCAGCGTACGCGGCCATTCGCTGCTGGGGTGATGAATTCGGCTGGAACGACAGCCTCGGATCCATAAGTTAGAGAGAACGGTGTTTCTTGAGTCGCTGAGCTCGCGTGGTTCGGTAGGACCACAGCACGCTTGGGAGCTCTTCCATCCATGACGATCCAGCCCGGTAAAGCCTGGTCTTGAGGCCATGGAGGAGAGTTCGGTTGAAGTTTTCAGCTTGTCCATTTGCCTGAGGGTGTCCACCGAGGTGAAGTGCTGTTTAATTCCCAAGTGTTCACACCACGTCTTGAAAGGATTGTCCGCGAACTGTCTGCCATTATCCGAGATGACCACCCGGGGCAAGCCGAAACAACAAACCACATTTTTCTAGAAAAATTTTTGAACGGCCATTCCGGTGATGCTTCTCAGGGGCTCCGCTTCAACCCATTTGGTGAAGTAGTCCACTGCTACCACCACGTAAGTATAACCACCTGGAGCCCTTGGAAATGGGCCGATTATGTCGGTTCCCCACTGCTCGAAGGGCCACGGCGAGGTGATAGGAATCATAAGATTGGTTGGTCGGTGGTGCTCAGGGGCATGGTGCTCAGGGCATGGTGCTGACAAGAAGGGCAGCAAAGGACCATGACCTGGGCATCTACCCTCATGGTGGGCCAAAAGTATCCAAGCAGCAAAGCCTTTTTCACGAGCATCCTGAAACCGACGTGGGCACCACAGAGTCCCTCGTGAATGTCCTGAAGAATTCTGTCGCCTTCTTCTGGGGTGATACATCGTAGCCATGGGCCGAGGTAGGACATCTTGTACAAGAGGCCCTGTTGAAGGGCGTACCGAGATGCTTTACGCTGAAGTTTGCGTGACTCAGCTCGGTCTTCGGGGAGTTCACCTCGGCTGAGGAATCGAACTAACGGTCCCATCCAGGTATCCCCAGGGTAGATGGGATACACCTCTTCCCCTTCGTACCCCGGTGCGGCTAAAACTTCTACAATGACCGTTTTGTTCAGGTCAGAAAAAGAGGTAGAAGCGAGCCGGGAGAGGGCATCAGCTCTCCTGTTCTGTGACCGTGGTATCCTCTGGATTTCAAAAGACTGGAAGTGTGCCACTAGCTGGAGGACCTTGGAGAGGTATCGATGCATCACCTCTTCCCTGGCCTCGTATTCGCCTAGTAATTGGCATACAACGAGTTGAGAATCGCTATAGACCATAATATGCGCGGCCCGAGCTTACGAGCTAACTGCAGGCCGGCGATGACTGCTTCGTATTCGGCCTCATTGTTGGAAGCAGCAAAATCAAACCTCAAGGCATACGAGCAAATTTCTCCTTGGGGATCTTCGAGGAGCAAACCAGCTCCACTACCCTCACTATTGGATGAGCCATCTACATGCAAGGTCCATTGTTGAGGCTCGGCGGTGGACGAGGTGACAGCCTGGGTAATAACCGGGATGATCTCATTCGCTTCCTCAAAAGTAAGTTCGGCAAGAAAATCCGCGAGAGCCTGGGCTTTAATGGCCGTGCGAGGCTCATAAGATAAATCGTACTCTCCCAGCTCGATGGCCCACTTGGTGAGGCGTCCAGAGGCCTCCGGTCGCGATAGGACCTGCCGAAGTGGTTGGTCTGTCCTCAGGCAGACGTGATGGGCCAAAAAGTAGGGCTTAAGCCTATGAGCTGCATGAATTAAGGCTAGCACAAGTTTCTCCGCCTGAGGTACCTGGTCTCCGGACCTCGGAGGACTCGGCTGACATAGTAAACAGGTGTTTGGACACCTTCCTCCCTTATTAGTACGGCACTTACAGCTTCAGCGGCAGCAGATAGGTACAAGATTAACTTGTCCCCTGGGCGAGGTGAAGTGAGTGTTGGGAGGTGGTTGAGGTACTCCTTTAGCTGCTCAAACGCCTGTTGACACTCTTCGGTCCAGGAGAAGTTGTTGGCCTTTTTAAGGACTTTAAAAAACGGCAATGCCTTGGAGGCTGAATGCGATAGGAATCGATTCAGGGCGGCCAACCGCCCCGTCAACCTTTGGACATCGCGGACGCACCGAGGTGAAGACATCTCTTGAATTGCTTTCACCTTGTCTGGATTTGCTTCAATACCTCGCCTGGAGACGAGGTAACCCAAAAACTTCCCCGAAGTGACCCCCAGGACACACTTCTTAGGGTTTAGCATTATTCGCGTCTTCCGAAAGACTTCCAGGACTTCCTTCAGGTCGGCAAGGAATGTGGAGGTTGTCCGACTTTTGAGGAGGATATCATCTACATAGGCCTCAACCATCCGGCCGATCTGAGACTTAAAGGCTTGGTTAACCAAGCGTTGGTATGTGGCCCCGGCGTTCTTCAATCCGAAAGGCATAGTGGTGTAACAATACGTGCCGTCGGTCAGTGTAGAAGGCGGTCTTCTCCTGGTCTTCCGGTCTCATCCGATCTGGTGATACCCCTTGAAGGCATCAAAGAAGCAGAGGACTTCATAGCCATTGCTGAATCCACCAGGGTATCAATCTTGGGCAATGGGTAGCAGTCCTTGGGACAAGCTTTGTTGAGATCGGTAAAGTCGACGCACATTCTCCAAGCCCCCGTGTCCTTCTTTACCATAACCGGGTTGGATAACCAAGTAGGATATTGGACCTCCCGGATGATCTTTGCAGGGAGGAGCTTGTCCACCTCTTCGCCAACAGCTCGGCTACGCTCAGGGCCGAGGTGCCTTCTTTCTGCTTGACCGGGCGGATTTGGGGGTCGACGTTCAACTCATGTATCATGAGGTGATGCGGGACCCCTTGAACCTCCTCTGCGGCCCAAGCAAAGACGTCCCGGTATTCTCTGAGAAGGCTCACCATACCTCTTTTGATAGGACTGGGCAATCGGGTACCGACGCGAATCGTTTGATCAGGCTTCGTGGGGTCCAGAGGGAATTCTTCCACCTCATCCCCAGTCTCCAGCCTCGGGATCTTCTCAGCTCGCTGAGGATCGATGCTATCTATAGAGAGGATATTTGACCTCCTCTCGGGCCTTGCTCCGGAGGTGGACGGGGAGGCTGCTTGTAGAGTGGCGGTAACACTCCCGGGCAGCGCAGACGTCGCTGCTGACCTCGGCTACCCCCTCTGGAGTAGGAAACTTAAAGCTTAGGTGATAGGTGGAGTATACTGCCCGTAAAGCATTAAGTGTAGGTCGGCCTAGGAGTAAGTTGTATGGGGAGTCAGCCTTGACCACACGAAGTTGACGGGGATGGTTCTGCAGCGGAGGTGACGCCCTACAGTCACTGTCAAAGTCACCATCCCTTCGAGATGCACAATGTGTCCCCCGAACCCGACAAGAGGGTTCTCACCATGGCCAGTTTAAGGCTATCAAAAGTACGAAGGTACATGACGTCAACTGAACTCCCCGGGTAAATGTAGACCTTTTTCACGATGTAGTTATTGGTGAGGACTTCAATCACCAATGCTTCATGACTGCTGGAGGCAGCTGGGACGGGGTCACTGGGCCCGTAAGTGATCACCTCAGAGAGGCGAGAACTCGACTCAGCCTGATCCGGGTTGGCTTGTCTGTAGGTCCTCTTCCGGGAGTTTTGACTATCTCCTCCCGTCGGACATCCAGCAATGGTGTTGATGACTCCGGCAATATTTGGTCATATCCTAATCCTTGACCTGAGGATCCGTCTCCGGGTGGCCTCTTCGACTCCCTAGGATTCTCAGGAGGTCGGCAACTAGTTCTCGATACCCGCCTCTCATCTTGGGTTGATCACCTCGCTTATCACGTCGATTCTCATCGCGGATGACCTCCACTTCGGCGGATAAACTGCTTGAGGTGGCCTTGTCTAATGAGGTTCTCGATCTCTCTCTTGAGGTCGTTACAGTCCTCGGTTTCATGTCCTATATCTCGTGATATAAGTAATAGAGGGTCGAGTTCCTCTTGTCCCTGCTGCCCTGCATCTTGGGGGGTGCCTTTCCAAGGTTATTTTGTTCCATTACGGATAGCACCCGAGACCGGCTAGTGTTCAAGGAGTTAGTTCGGATTCAGGAATGGGTGACTTTCCTTTTGAGATCCTGTCGAACATACTCCTGCGATCTCAGCCGGGACTTTGGAAGCCGCTTCCTGTCCCCGCTTCACTTCGGCTAGGCTCCTTCCCTCTTCGGGCGTCAGCCCTCGGGCGAGCAGCTTGGACTTCTTTTTCATGCGGTTGAGCTCTCGGCCTGTATGCCCTTCTCGACCTTTAAACCATAGTTCATGGAGAGTGCGGGGATATTTTTTGTGGATTCCTGTGTTGAACACCCCGGAAACGAGCCCATGGGTGAAAGCGGCGATGGTGACCTGCTCATTGGGATCAGGTATCTGCACGCTCTCTTCATGGAACCTCTGAACATACGACCGAAGTGACTCACCCGGGTTTTGCTGCATGTTCAGCAGGTAGCCGAGGTTCGGGTCGTAGGTCGGGATGGAATGAACCTGTGGAGAAATCTTTCTACCAGTCATCCCAGGGTTGAGATGCTCCTAGGTTCTAACCCCCAGAACCATTTTCGAGCTGTCCCCTGGAGGAATACTGGGAAGGCTCGGCATATGACGGGGTCAGGGATGCAGTATAAGCGAAAGGCCGAGATGAAGGCGTGGATATGGTCCTCCAGATCACCCGACCATCATAGGATGGAATTGAGGGAAGCTTGAAGTTGGAGGGAGCCTCTCCTCATTGATATCGTCGGTGAAAGGTGGGCCCTCATGTAATTCACCCCGGGTATCCCAGGGGCCGAGGTTCCTCCTCAGGTCGTCGCCCAAGAGTCCCCGGGAGAATGCCTTGGTCATTGAGGCTACCTTAGAGGTGGCCTTGGAGAATGCCCGTTTCGAGGCACTTCGGCTTAGGCGCCTTCCATCAGACTCCTTTTCGGACGAGTCTTCAGGAGACCCATCTGACTTCCTCTTAGAGGATTCGGCTTTTTGCTTGCCTTGCCTCTTCAGGTATCTCCCTAATTCCTCGAAGATGTTGGGATTGTCAGTAACAAACTCGGCCATACGAGAGATGGCTTCTTCGTTTGCGGGCTGGGTCCTTGGAGACCCCTGCCCTTCAGATATACCTTCTGTTGGGCTGCATTACTTTGCTCAGCCCCAATAGTGAGAGCTTTTCTGCTCTTAGAACGCGTAGGCTTCATACTCTGATGTCTTTGCGTTCCCACAGACGGCGCCAATTGAAGAGGTGATTTCCGTCCCGCTGGAGTAAGTCACCCAAACTGGAGAAGTATTTTTATCTTGGGCAGCTCTCTTGGACGTGGTCACCTGCTTGGGTAATAAGAGGGGCTGAATCCCCTAATATAACTCCGAAGCTCAAGTTAGTTCGGTTGTAAGGAGGTAGTATAATGAAGGGAGGAGTATGTTACCAGAGAATTGGTCATCATCCCTTTCTCAATAGAAATGTTGAGAATTTATAGAGGAAGGATAGGAGAGAGGGACTGTCGGCACGAGTCCCTAAAGATCTGAGATGGTCAGTGCATCCGGTAGACTTGACCAATCTTTATGAGATGTGAGGGGACATCTGTCAGGTTCAGACGGCGTATCAGAGCAGCCTTTCCAGGTGTCAGATGTGTCAGGAGTCACATCGTACCTTTCTGCAGTTATCAAATAATCAAGCATCACTTCGGCTAATGATCTTAGCCGGAGTGGTAATGAGGTGGGTTCCAAACCAACAGGTCTTGCCGAGGTGGCACTTCGGGAGGTACTCGAGCCGAAATGACCATCCTCAATGCACGTCTTGAGCTGAGTTGAATGGAAAATTAGGAATGGAAATTGAATATAAAAATCAGGCTTTGAGCTCGATTTCAAGCTTGGATTTGGGTGGTTCGAACTCGACAAGACTTGACGGGATTTTCAAGTTAATTTGAGGGGAGTTTAAGTTTGTATACTACTCGCATGAGTCGAGTTCGAGTTCGAGTTCAAGTATCGTTACTCGCTTGAATTCAAATAGCATTATCCATGCTTGAATTTGAGATCGAATTGGAATATGTGATCATCCAATTACACCACTTGGAATTTATTTTATGGCACCCAACCTCAAGAAATATGTATCCTTTTGCAATTGACCGCCAACATCTAGAAAAATGATACTCTTTGCTCTTTTTTTTTTGGTTAGATAGATTTTATCGACATTGATAATATACGAATTTGGATGCATATCATGTCATTTTAATTTTGAAATTTAACTCTAAATTTTACACACGTGACATGTATTTAAAATAATTTTAGTGCATATAGTCAAGTGTTGAAAAATGAAAAGATTTTGAACTTGTATGAATTGGTCATTTTTTTAAAAAAAAAAAATTATTTCTGTGAATCCATTTTTAAACGCTTTTTGGTAGTATTTAGTATTTACTAGTACTATATTTCGTACCAATAAAAAAAAAAGGGTAAAGTACATAAAACCCCCTGTGGTTAAGGAAATTGACACGAAACCTCCTCATTGTTTAGAAACTCCCACTTAACCCCCCTGTGCTTTGGACTTGTTTGGATTTTACCTGCTAACCGGCTGGGGAGCTAGCGAGTGATATTTACGCGACTTAATGGTAACTTGTGTCTAGCAGAAACTCATTTCATTCCAATTTTGTCCTCTATGTCTCTTCCAAGCTTGCACCCACCATAGTTGTAGATCTGCAAATGAAAAATTTTGACAGAGATGCAAATCGAAGACCCAACCTCTATTCAATTGGATTCCAGGTCAGCCTAACCCTTCTTCAATGGGAAAGCAATAGAGCCTTTCATACCTAATTTCGAAAGAGAATGAAAGAAAGGGCTATAGCTTCGTTCCAATTACCAGGATTGCTAGGCGGGAAGCAAGCAATGGTTCATAGTAGTCCTAGGTTGGGCACTGCTTCTTGAGTGACTCGCAATTCATAGAGAAAAGGGAGCATCTCCAGCTCACTCCGAACTCAGATTCATGGGCACTACTTGCTACAAATCTGAACTACCTAACATACGCTCTTAATCCCTGGCTTGCTCAATCCCCAAAGGCAGTTCTCAAGGGCCACAAATCTACCTTTTTGATCCACTTCGCCCATCTTTCTGTCGCATAGCTGCGTAGTTAGCCTTTCCATCCACAATGGCATCTCTTCTGGGTTTAGTTGGTTAGCAATTGAGGAAGTCGCCAGACTGATTCGACTCCTTTTGAAAAGGTTTCAGCCAGATCTAGGCCTAATCAAACAGGCAATCAAAGCCTTGAAAAACAAAAAAAGCTACAGAATGTGTAAGCAAGAGAAGGGAGCAAGCAAAGCAACAAACCAATCAGAAAAAGCGCCTGCGGCTTCTGAGCCAATCCCTGAGATTCTGTACCCAGAACGGAAAAGACGAAGCTTTAGCTTACTTTGGCATTGATCTACGCGCCCTGAATTAGGGCTGTTTACACTGGTAAGGATTTTCTTTGGGCTTTCGTTCGTTGTTGCTGGTCCCGGGAACGATCTAGAGAATCAGGCGAGAAGCAGACGGTGTGCATTGAAGATGGGTTTTTCCTCAGGAACAGGAAGAAGGAATGCCGACTTTGGAGTTGGTGCTGCTTTTGTGGACAACGCTTGCTAGCGAAGAATGTTTTGGGATGCGGAATGCTACTCCAGCGAATGCGAAGAACAAAGAGATCCTGCCGCTAGGAAAGGAAGGGACGATGCTCAGCCCATGATGGAGGGATGCCTATTCAAGATGCAATTTCTCAAATTGACTCATTGCATCCGTAACTTTTCACATATTATATATGAGGGTATTTTTGGTATTTCATATTATTACCGGCTCCTCAGTCGGTTAGCAGGTAAAAGCCAAATAAGTCCAAAGCATAGGGGGGTTAAGTGGGAGTTTCTAAACAATAAGGAGATTTCGTGTCAATTTCCTTAACCACAGGGGGGTTTTATGTACTTTACCCAAAAAAAAAAAAGGCAAAACAACTTGTGGGAAACGTGGGTTAGTTGCAAAAGCAAAGCAACAGGCAATAGACTGACAAAGCCGTACGCGGCAACAAAACATAGCTCTCAGTCCCCCACGTCAGCAGTCCCTATTTATCCATAACAATAATGAACAATCCCCCCTCTACAAAAGGCCCCGTGTAATAATAGTAGTAGTTCCATTTGACCACGGAACAGTAGCAGCCGGCCGGCGCAAGTTTTTCCTCTTTCCTTCCTTCTCAGTTCCGAACAAAGTTTTATTCATTTATTTATTTTGGTCCGCTTTTCTTGCTGTTTGCATTTTGCGGTAAACTAAGGTAGAAGCCATTAGTTTTCCTTTTCCTTTTTCTTTTTTTATTTTATTTTATTTAAAATTTCGTCGTCCTTGTTGATATATGCAGGGTTAATTAGTTAAGATGCTCTGCATTTTGAATCTTGGGTTCTTTAATTGTGATAAATTTTGTTCGGATTGTGGCTGTACAGTTAAGGTTGAGCTGAAATTTGGAGGACGAGGAACTGGGAATATAATAAGCACCGAAGGATGGAGATTATTTTGATGACCTTTTCTGTTATTTTGTTTGATTTGGCAGCTAAATGTAGCAGAGGATAGCTAAGAAAATACTGCTAAATAAGTAAATAATGCAACCTTTTTCTATTCCCTTGGAACCCCACCACCCCCTCCCCAAAAAAAAAAGAAGAGAGAGAGAGAGAGAGAGAGAGATTGTCAAAGCTTAAGGACGAGGGAAATTCTTCATGTTATGCACTTGGATACTTTTATTTGTTAATTTATGTGTAACTTTATAACAAAAATGGATTTGCTCTAAATCGTTGTCCAGCGAAAGTGTTTTCTATAATTAGAGAATTTAGTTTTTGTCTTTGATGAACTGTTATTATAGAGTTAAAAAAAAAAGAAAAGAAAATTTTACTATTGTAGAGTTGTGCATATTAATTGTTTGGGTTGCTAAAAATGGAATCTTTATTTTTTTCTTGATCATTATTCTGGGATAAATGTTATTTAATTATGTCTGCCTGCCTGTTTGACTTCACATGATTTTTTGGTTGTGTATCTATTTCTTATGAAAATGGTGGGTTCCAGGGGGAGTTCCAGTTGATGTGCACTCGGTATTGTGCCGTTTCTTTTTATATGTTGAGACAATGGCAGCTGCAACTTCCTTGCTTTCGCCCTGTGAAATGCGAATCTGTGGCCACTATGGCCAGTTTAAGGTGCATGGAGGTTTACTACATTCGGTACATGATCTGCACCCTTCAGTCTCTTTGCTAACTTTTTCTCAAGTAAGTTATTCTAATTTTCATTTGTTCGTGTCCAGGGCATGATGGAGAAGACCCGCTTACACTCGTTTAGCTCGTCTCTTTCATCTTATTCAGTGGTATGTAATGCGCATATGCTTTCCATTTACTCCTCTTATGCTGCTGGAATTTTATGCTTTCATGCTAAGCAACTGATTGGAATTCGTGAATAGCATACCAACCCAAATATCTCAATGTTGTTGATACCAAAGAAGAAGTTTGTTTTTTAGCATATCCATTATCTACTTAAGCTTGTTATTTGCTATCTTTTTGGATTCATGTTTTGTTTGGGAGTTGAAACTTTCCAAGTGGATGATGAAATGAGCGAAATTCGATATATTTGGTTAAATTTAATGGGAACTTGTCAAATTTCGTGGATTCTAAAAATTTACCTAGTCCTTGACCAGCACTTCTCTAATCTGTGAGGGATATATTTATTTATTTATTTATTTTAGAGAAGTTGTCTTATGTGTGGACACTAATTTTGTCAATCATGTAGCGACAGGATGCTTGGAGTCTCTGCGTTTTGAAAAATGTACATGGCCCCCTATGCCCTAATAATGCTAAATTTAATGGTTTTACGTGCCGATCCCTATTAAAACCCGGTGGAGGAAATGAGATTCCTGTTCTGAAAGCAGCTGCAAAAATAATTTCCAGGTACATGTTTTATTTAATGCTTTCAAGGCTTTCTGTGGGATTCTTATAAGGGTCCCCTTTCCCTCTTGTTGTCCTCGTTGGTTGTCATGAAATGGTAGGATGGACCATAAGCTTGTCTTTATTTATTGCAAATACAGTTTTTTTTTTGCACCATGAGATGACGGCACATTGGATAAACTCATAACCATTTTTAGCAGGTCACATGGTACTTTGCATGGAAGTCCTCCTGTGCTTCAGTTGGTTCCAGCCATTGGTATAATTGCCTTGGCTGCTTGGGGCTTAGGCCGCTCATGCGTTTCGGGAGGATTCTTTTCCTAAGTGTACATTCTTTATCATTACCCCAATGTTTTTCTTTTCTTTCATGAGGTGTTTAAGCTGATACTTTGCTGATGTCCCTCATGATTTTTTCATGCAGAAGAATGATGGTAGTTGGAAAAAGAGCGGGATACATAATCTTGTGACTTCCTATCTTCAACCTTTGCTGTTTTGGACTGGAGCAATGCTCATTTGCAGGTACTAGTGGGACAAAATTGGAATGTTTGTTATAACCTGTTTTGTCTTTAGACGATCTGATTATTTTTCCTTTTGATGGAACTTCTGCAGAGCACTTGATCCTGTGATTCTAACTTCAGTAGCTAGCCAGGCTGTCAAGCGACGGCTTTTGTATTTTGTACGATCACTGTCTACTATTCTTGCCTTTGCCTACTGTTTATCAAGGTAAACTTATTGCTTAAAACTCTCTAGTGCTAGGCAACAAACAACTTGATCTATTACTATCTTTGTTTTCTTTTCTGTTAAAGTAAAAGGATAGGGTCATTCTACGATTGATTTCTCTTAGAAAACTCAAAGTTCGCATTATTGGTTGTTTAATTTGTTTTATTTCTACTGGAGTTGGTTGTTTTGCTGATGTTAAAGGCATAGCTCTCTCTCTCTCTCTCCCTTCCCCCTCCCCCTCTTTATATCATAAGATATGATCTTGTAACTGTATGTTGTTTGCCCCTCCTTGAAAATATAAGTTGTTTTGCTGTGGCAACAATCTTCTTAGGACGAGTCTCTGCTTTCCATTTAATTGTTTGTACAACTTTATGCTGCTGTGCAACTCTCTCCTCCCCCCACCCTCCCTCCCTCCCTCCCCTTTCTTTGTGCCCCTTAGATACAAACATACTTGTACGCATGGATGTGAGCAGGTAAATGTGCTTGCTGTAATTGGACCTTGTCTGCAGTCTGTTGCTTCTCTTGTCATGCCCTTTCTGTTGGAGTTAGTATAGATTCTAGAGTATGATATCTAATCTTGGTTTTTTTTTTTTGGACAGCTTGATTCATCAGACTCAGAAGTTCTTTGTCGAAACAAAAGAATCTAGTGATGCAAGAACAGTACGTTTTGATTACTTTTAGACTATGCAACAGATTTACATTCTCTCATTACATGTGCAACCGTTCAAATGTTCTGGCATACTAGAAATTAATGTGAACCTAAAACCACTTGTAGAAAAGGCCCATTAATTGATGCAAGAGGCCATTATGTTGCCAGTCATTAATGACTAATGGGTAATTAAGATGCTAGTCTTTCTGCCTTGTCATGCATGCACATTCTCTGTTGCTTATTATGGTATTGCCTTTTGGTTCTGAGTTAACTAAAGATTTCGTGTTTTGCACTACAAACACTACCTACAGTAGGTGTTTAGTTTACAGCTGTCACGTATTCGTGATACTGTTTAGAGGTTCTTACGGATAACATGCATCCTAATTCGTGAGAATTCCATCCATGTGTTTAGATAGACTGTCAATTAGGTCTAGCATTTTGTTCATTTGGTTGGTTTTGGTCTAATGGATCTGTCAGTTTGCCTATGGTATTGTAAATAATCTAACTTCGTGATGCTTTGCACCTTTAGATGGGCTTTGAGTTTGCTGGAAAAGCTGTATATACTGCAGTATGGGTTGCTGCTGTTTCATTATTCATGGAATTGCTTGGTTTTTCAACCCAGAAGTGGCTAACTGCTGGGGGTCTTGGGACAGTATTATTAACCCTTGCTGGTCGTGAGGTAAATCATTCTCCTTCCTCCCTGTATCTTTTGTAGCAATTAGTGCAAGTAATTACTGTAAATACCTTTCCCCGCATCTGTCTTAGCTTCCCTTTCCTTCTAAGGCTAAATAGTTCTCTTCCATTTTCTTCAGATTCTCACAAATTTTCTTTCAAGTGTAATGATCCATGCAACACGGCCATTTGTTCTCAACGATTGGATTCAGACAAAGATTGATGGCTATGAAGTTTCTGGTACAGTTGAGGTTTGTCTGCATTGTCCTAAAATCTTTATGATATTTGTGGTGACAAAGTTCTGCATATAAATCTTAAACTCCTTGCAGAGTTAACTGGATCATTAAATACTGTATGAACATGTGACTTAGTGTTGAAATACTGTCTGGAGAATCTAAAATGTATTTAATTTGTTGTTCAGCATGTGGGATGGTGGTCACCAACAGTTATAAGAGGTGATGACCGTGAAGCAGTTCACATTCCAAGTCACAAGTTTACAATGAATGTGGTAAGGAATCTTAGCCAGAAGACTCATTGGCGAATTAAATCCAGCCTGCCATAAGTCATTTGGATGTCAATAAGATCAATGTAAGATTTGATATTCCTTCTTATAAATGCTATGATGTTGGCATTGTTCCTATTTTCACGCCACTTATACCTTTTGTTTTAACAGAATATTGTGTCTGATATGCGCAAGGTTTTGGCTAAAAATCCTCAAATAGAGCAGCAGAAGTTGCATAGACGAGTATTTCTAGATTATATAGATACAGAGAATCAGGCACTCATGGTGAGTTTTTCATTTCATAACTGTTATCATTGGCTCGTTTTTATGTGAAGTAGTCCTACTACATTATCTGATGAGAAGAGATGATTCGTGGAAGAGTTTTGTTTGTTCTTGTATGAAATGAGCTTTACATAGCTGAAGGTTACATTCAAATACAAAAATGCGTTGATCTATGCAGAAGGACACTGGGGCATCTAATCTTCAGTTGTTATTAGCTACTAAATACTGATTATATTCACCAAATTAGCTGAATAGGCCAATATGAAGCTGTTTGCTGACTCTTGCCTCTGCTTTGGTTGCCAGAATAAAATTTGTCATTCTTTTGCCTTGATTGTTTTTCATCTAGCTTTATGGCTTGTAGCTATTTAAGAGTGCAATAACTTTTTGTTGGCCTGTATCATATAACAGATTATGGTCTCTTGCTTCGTGAAGACCTCGCGTTTTGAAGAGTACCTATGTGTAAGGTAAGCAACACTTAATAGTAAATCAGATTAGCTAGATGGTACATGCAAATGGGATTTCAGATGCTAATTAGGTTTTTTAGTAGTATGGATTCTATTTATCTTCTGTGTTGCCTTTGTTGCTGCCTTGTCGTCATTAAGGTCTGCTGGAAGCTGCAGCTTCTGCGAGTAGTTCTGAGCTGCATTTACTAGTTTCATGCTTTTAGTGTTAAACATTCAGGAGAGGTCTGCATTCCCTAAGACCTAGCTCACTGGTAGGTAACCGTGACGTACCGGTTCAAGTCTTGAGTACCTCTCCTCGAGTTTCTAGATTTTTTTTTTAATCAACAAGTTGTTGTTTACCTAATAATGCACTCAGAGTTCATCTTGTCATTTATCTTATTGTCTCAATACATTTTATAGCATGTACAATGGCTCGAAAATATAGCCTTTTAATCAGTGTAATTCCCTCAATATAGGAGTCTATCTTGCAAGATCTCCTTAGAGTGATCAGTCACCATCGAGCTCGGCTTGCCACCCCCATACGTACAGTGCAGAAAGTATATGGTGAAACTGATGGGAAACCATTCCATTTTCTGAGACCATTTTCCGTCGTACTAGAGCGGCATCTAATCGTCCTTTCCTGCTGGTTGATCCTTCTTATAAAGTTAATAATGACAATAAAATCAGGACAACAGGTCGTACAGAACAACCTAATGAAGAAAAAGATGAGAAGGTTGAAGCAACCTCAACATCTGAGACTAAGGTGGATGCTAAAGTTGGACCAACATCAATTGTTGATGATGACAAAGTCGATGATGAGGGCTCCACAGAACTGATATCTGACAACAATCAAAAGGCAACAGTTGAGAGCTTCAACTCTGATGCCTTGCCACATATGGGTTCCATTGATCCAGGCCAAAGAAATTCCGTGAAGCAGGTAGCTGATAGAGCTGTTCTGAAGAGGCTTCAGCTGTTGCAACAAGTCTGAATACTGGAGGAAAGGTACCTGAATACAGCGTCCATCTGTCCAAGAATTTGGCCGTGATGGCAAAGCTGTAGCTTCTAGCACTTCACAGGCAATGCCAGATGTTGAAAGGCATATACCATCAGCGTCAGCTCAAAGACTACATTGGAAGATAATATTGTTCTTGGCGTTGCTTTAGAAGGCTCGAAAATGACACTTCCAATTGAGGAAGATATGGCCAGCCCCAACTCAATCAGAGGTCAAGGACGTAGCTGCCTGCTGGAATGGAAATGGGTTGGCTACTGTAGGCAAAGATAAGCAGGATGAAATTGGCGAAATTCCAAATGGAGGACCGCGTGATTTGCAGGAAAAAGAAAAGTGATCTGTGTCTAGTACTGGCATATCTTTTAACAAAGTGCAGAATGCATAAAGCGTGTTTTTTGGAGCTGCGTTTTGCACTGTTATGAATTTCATAACACCTGTAAATGGGAATGTATTGAACTCAGAAATTCAAAATTCATTGAATTTAGAAGTTTATGCGAGTATGTTAAGAGTTTTTTTTTTTCTTTGAACTTATATCAGAAGGAATCTATTGTGGGTCAGAATTTGCAAGACCGTTTGTATTGAAAGCCCCAAGAGATAAAAGTGGTTTTACTCTTGATTGCATAAGATAACTTTTTCCATCAGCAAGCGGAATCCTCTAATCAGGATAGCCAATCCATACGGCAGTACAAAATCAAGTAAATTGGATAACAAATTTGATATGTTTGGATATGAGATTATTTGGAACAATACTTTTAGCCGCATATTTTATGATGTGAAAAAAAGTAGTTAAAATTGTGGATCTATGAGGATTGAGCTTTTTTAAAAAAAAAATTTTCAAATATAATGTTGCATAATATAATTGTAAAAGCATCTAATCTATACAAATCTCAAATAGACTAATAAAAATATAAATAAATAAATAAAAATAATTACCACCTCTATCTCTTTTACTTGCCACCACCCCTTCCTCCATCGCTCATCCGCCTCCTTTCTCCCTCTCTCCCTCTTCCTCTCCTTCCCTCCGTCCTGCCCCTCCCAAACCACCCTCCCCTCTGCCCATGACCAGAAAGGTCGCGACCAAAGGGCCGGGGGGAGGGGTTTGGGGTAGAGGAGGGAGAGGGGATGGCCGGGCCGGGGAAGATGAAGAAAAGGGGAAAGGAGGATATAGATTGGTAGTAATGGTAATACCTAATAAAATATTAAATTATAAAAATACTCCGATTTGTTTTGAAAGAGATTATTTGAAATATATATGTAATTATGTATTACTTTCACTTATGGTGCAAAAATATGTTTGTGATGTAAATATATAATTTTTAACCAAAAAATTACAATCCAGACACAAGTGAGTCAATGACTAGATTAAGTCGTTTTGAGAGCTGTAACTTTCAAGTTAACGTCAGTGTGTCAAATCAAGCAACGGAGCTGGAAATTCGATGGTACATACCACATATTTTATTATGCTACTAATAGAATTGATCACAATAAAACCTTCTGATTTCAGACCTAGTCATACACGCACTTCATAGAATCATAGTAATGATTTACATGCACCTCATTGGATTACTTAAGCATAAATTACGCAAACAGAAATGATAACCAAAACTTCTACATTCTCCAAGAAAAGCTTCAATTTTCATGTGGATGGCAGTCCCATTCCACGCAGAGGAGGCCAAGACTGTCGTGGTGGGAAAGGCAAAAATATTAGATCACCGACAGCAACTACCGATGAAGAACTGAATATGCACTTGACTAATTGGCTTATTAGCACTGGTAAAATCCAGAGCCAAGAAGAGTACTCACACTTCTTAAATCAGCAGGCAAACAGCACATCGCGGTAAGGGTGAAGTCCAAGTAGTCTTCTGCTTTCTCTTACAAGTCATAGACAGCGATGAAAGAGTTCCACTTACCATTATCAATGTTTAGCCACTACCGGCCTGGATTATAGTATGAAGAAAGAGGGCCAAACAAGGTTTTGTGTTTGGATCAGAATCAACTATGCTTGACACATGCAATCAGGAATAGGATAGGTGTAGATGGATTGCTTTTCTTTTCTTAACCTGAGTTGCCCTTGTCTATTCTTGTGCCCATTCTTAACTGCTTGCTGGAAATCTGACCATTCCAAGGTTTTATTTAGGAAGAGCTTGCCCAAGAGCACCATGTTCGGTCTAATGGTCTTCAAGTTGTTGTAAGTTCGGTGTCCTACCTGAGGATTCCAGAGATTCCAACTCAGCATCATTCTTGTTGCATCAGCAATCCAATTCATCATAACAGAACACAGATTCAAGTAATTAACCTAATTTACCAAGTCTTACCAGTGCATTATGCATGTTTCCTGGTGAAGCAGAAACAAAAATGTCACTTTGCATGCCCACATAATAGTCCACAGCAGCCAATAAAGAAGATTTTCCGTCCACCTTAGCCCGTTCCTCGGCAGAAGAAAGGCTTTTTTTATCCTCCATATAAGGGAACAGCTTTTTCAGAGTTGAGATCCTAGCTTCACCACCATAAACCTGTATGACACAAGAAAAAAGAATCATCAGAAACTTGTTTCTTGAAACAAGAAGCCTCACATTTTGGAGTACAGTGGAGAATGACTTAAGTTCCAATCTCCACAATCAACCTTGTGGGATGCCAGATACAGTGGTACTGTTATTGAGCCCAGAGCAGCCAGCAGAAGCCCAATTTCTTCCGGAGTCAGAGGGCAACGCCCTTGAATTCGTAGTTCTTCATCAGTGAACTGAGAATTGAGTACCCTTCCCTGCCAAAGCACCTGCCGGTATTTTCCAAGTGCCAATTTCTCAGCTTTACCCCCACCAAAGTCACAAGCCGAGTGAGCAGCCATATCCTGTCCACAACAGATACCGACATGATGAGCAATAGGACACAAATGTACCTCAATTCTAAAATCCAGCCTAGCCATGTGGCATTCAAACTTCAACGAAATGTGTTTTAGATAATAGTTGCTGAGAAGGTAATCAATGGAGAATTGCACCATGGAACTATCTGGAAAAACTTCTCAGTAGCAGATTTCATATGTGGAACTATTACAACACAAGACAATGTAATCTATTTACTTATAGTTGGTAAGCCACAACAATGCTAAACCAACGACTGAGCTTATCTTAGCTATACACCTCTCCCCCAACCCCCCCCCAAAAACGCCATATGCACATGAACATGCAATGCATTCTCTCATTTCTTTATCAGAGGCTTAAAGCAGAAAGGTTCATACTTTGTCAAACCGCAGGTGTAACACAACATACTTTCCAGCTCTTCGCTTATCATCTAATCTTTCCTGCCAGTTAGAGACGCCTACTGCCCTGTCACCACTAGGTGCATACCGCAGGCGATTGATGAGGGTCTCTGCTAACATCCGGATATGGGGAACAAAAACCAAAGCCTCAAAATTAACCTTACAGCGAAGCTGCTGGATCTCAGAAGGCAGGTTGTCGAAGGCCAATCGGTGAGAAAATGGGGCAATAGCTGCAATCCCGTAACTAAACAAGCAATCAAGGGACGAATCAAACCAATAATTTTGTAGGAAAATTTAATCAAGGAAGGCTACTCTAACTGGACATGTTGTGAAGAAGAGCAAGTACCAGCATAGCTGGATGCAGAAAATATATGTTGACAGGAAAATCTTAAACTTCTATAGGACACATTTTGAAAATTTTCCATTTCTAAAGAGAAAGAAATTGTTCTTTTCTAGGAAACTGTGGGGCCCCACCCTCCCTAGATCCATCTATGATTGCCAAATTTACTTCCAGATGGCGTAGATATTTTCTAGAACAATATCCAATGACATGATGATAGAAAGAACACGCCTCATAGGTGAAACCTTAGAAGTGAAAGATTGGGATCTTTATGATTCAGTCTATAAACAATATTTATGCTCCTATAACATTGACATAAATTACGTGGATGAGGAAGCACTAATTTTCATTGGAACCATATAACAAGGACCAAAAACAGCAACATCAACAGCTTTCGATTCACCTGATCTAAATTATTGGAAAATCCCCAAACAACCATCATGTTTTCCTTATTGAAGTCAATTCAAAGAAATAGAAGCCCAGAAGTCATCAGAACTGAGAACAGAATTTAAGTTATTATCTTCAATTCAGCATCCACATCAGGTGAACAGAGTTTAATGATCCAGGATTTCCATGAGTAAATGATGCCTTAAAAAGAAGCCTTGCTAAGAATTGGGATACTGGTTCTTTCCTTTGAAATGGTTTTGAGTCAATCAATCTTGTAAACAACGATTCTTTTTAGCAGATACCTAGTGTTTTGAATTAAATGGTAATAGGATTGTACAGCAATTGTTAAAAGAAAAAAAGAAACAGTAGTGACATATATTCCACAACAGAGATAAGCATAAGCATTTAACCAGCCTTAAATGTGACGTCTTGGCCACCACTCTAATAACACCAAGCATGCAGGGCTCTAATTTCCACAAACCTCTGCATTACAGGCAAAACATTTTCCAGATACCAAGTGGCAGGTGCATGCATAGGTGCTGTTTTGATTCTAGTGGCTCTTATGCCGTGCATAATACTCTCGTGTACTCCAAGAATATTGACTTGGCAGATCTTTAACTACAGAGACTTCATTTTTCAGGGCATCAATAAAGTGGTCAGCATCAAAAATCTGTAAATGAACTTCAGAAAATGAGATTTCAGGTCAGAAGTGTCTGTTTATGTTTAGGAACCAATACGCATAATCTTGAGCATACAGTACCTTGAATCTTGCCAAACAGGATTCACTTCAAAGTGTGGAAGCACAAGTGTAGCATTTAAAATTTTAGCAACAGCTACGGCATCACAAATCTTCAAAAGGGACAAATGGGAAATTAAGTAAGTATTAAAAGACATTACATATTGATATCATTATAGAATTCTTTTAAGCAATTCACAGATAACTCAAGATATCATACACAACAGAAGCTACAACTGAAGCCACCTTACCCCCATTCG